ATATATATATATATATATATATTATAAAATATGTATATATTATTATATATATATCAGCATGCAAGCCCGGTCTCCTGAACATCCCTGCAGCATAGCTGCTTTACCTTCCCTTTTCCAATCCCTTCCCTGGAAACTCTCTGGGATGGCCTTTCCAGGCTGGAGGACCTCCAGTGACTGTGTCTGTGTCATGAGTTCTGATGCGGTTTTTCTCTGTGTTTGTCTTTAGCTTCATCCAGCAACCTTACCCAGCCGAGACTTGGCGCTATCCACCGTGCAGCTGTGTCCCATCCAGGGGTAGGCATGAGCTGGAAATCCTCCTCTTCAATTCAGAGCTGCTGTGTCCAAGCCTACAGTGGAGACAGGGGATAAACTTCACAGAGACGTAGCTGTGCATCCTGACACTCCTCGGCCTGTAGAACCAAGAACTTGAGCTTGCTGCCTCTGCAGGGGCCTGTAGTGGAGGCAGTTAGGGAGAGGTTTCTCTGTGGGGGTCTTTGCCCACCTCCAACTAGGACAGGCCCTTTTAGGAAGTCGGAGTCCCCAACCATCTTCTAGGAGAACACTATTGCTGGAGGAAGCATGTCCTAGACGAGCTTTCATTATCGACTTCTTGAATACCCCAGCCCTTCTGGATAAGGAGCACAAGCTGGGAAAGAAAGAGAAGCTGTTCTTCTGCCTGGCAGGATATTGGCAATACGAACAGAAAGGATTTGAGCCTGTCAAACCTGATTCAGTCAAACCTGATTCACTTCTGCACAAGCATCAAAGTGAAGCTGATGCTAAGTTAGGGCTCTGGGAGAGTCCCCAGGGGTGATGGAAACCACAGCTGAGGAACACCAAAGAATTGCTTGAAGGTCTAAGTTATAGACAGAAGCTTCTGGGAATGGCAGGCCTGGTTTCTTCACCAGCCATACCACCTTCTCAGACCTGTTTCCAGACCTGTCTTTACTGTCCCTGGAGCCACCCAGGTATCATTTGCCATTGCTGGTGCATGGAAGGCAAACCAGGTACTTGGGAGCTCTTTACTCTAGAAAGGCAATGCATGCCTTCAGAGTTTACGAGCTCTTGGGGAAGACGGTGAGAATAAGAATGTGAGAACCCTATACTGAAGGCAAAGGGTTAAGTTTGGGCCATTGCCATTTCTAAATGGCAATGTCAGCAACAAGCCAGCAGAGAGTGCACTAAAGTTACCTCATGGCCATTGTGATAATGAGCTATTCTCCTCTCTCCCTTCAGACAAAAATTACCCTGCACCAAAAAGGAGAAGAAGTAATCATGTCAGGCCCCCAGCAGAGGCAAATCATCTCTCAGAGGCCTGCTAACGTTGACAGAACCTTTACTGGTGAGAACTGAAATGCCCTGGCACCATCCGCCCCTGGAAAGATCAAGAAAGGGAATGGGGTGACAGCCCAGATATGGCAGGACTGGACTGCAGTAGGTAAGATGTGGGCAGAGGGCAAGAGAGGAAGCTCCTCCACCCTCCCAGAGCCTGCGAGTCCTGTAGCCTTTCCTTGGTGGGTGGGGTCAGGAGACCTGGGCTCTAGGTGTCACTCTGCAGATGCATGGCCTCATGCACACCTGGCTCAGACTGTTGAATGCGGATGTCATTGAGCGCTATTGAAGGCAAGGTACTGTTGTTATCAGCAGTGATGCATGGGGTCTTTTGATGCTAGGATCTCCCACTTGGACAGTGACTCACATCCATTGTCTCAGTAAATCCTCACAACAACCCCATGAGCATTCACGTCAGAAATCATTTACTTTTTAACTGATGAAGAAACTGATGCACAGAGAAGGTAAGTGACTTGCTTACAATTACTAGGTAATAACTGCAGAGTTTGGACTAGAACACACCACTTTTGATTCTTTGTCCTGTTCTTGTTCTTTCTGTTGTTGTTGTTCTTTTTTTTCTGACCAGTAAGGGGATCACAACCCTCGGCACGGTGTGGTCCGCACCGTGCTCAGCCATCCCTATATAGGATCCAAACCCATGGCCTCGGCGCCACCAGTGCCGCACTCTCCCAGCTGAGCCACAGGGCCGGCCCCTGTTCTTGTTCTTGGTAGCCATCTATGTAACTTTGCACGCACAAACAGAATAGTTCTTCCCTGGATTCTGTTCATTCGCCAACTAATAGGTAAAGAGGTTCTTTGTAAAGTTTTTGATTTAAAGTCCTGAACAATTGTTTTAATTTTAGAATAACTACGTCCATTTCTTGTCCTTTAAGAAAAATTAGGAGTAAAATGAGAGAATTTCCCAAACAAGGCTTCCACTTGAGATAATTGAGGAGAGGTTGGTTGGTCATCTCTATGGGCTTTTAGA